GGAGGGGGGGCAGTCTCCAGAGCCTGCACTCTCCTCCCCTTGTGGACAGGCTGCAGGCCATGGGGGGCAGCTGCAGGAGAAAGGGGCAGCCCCCAGATCCTTCTCTTCCCCACAACAGCTTGCAGGCTTCAGGAGGGTCCACTGGAGGAGGAAACAACCCCCAGAGCAGAGTCTATCCCAGACAGCCTGCAGTGTGGGCCACTGGAAGCCAGGGTCAGCCTCCAGAGGAGTTCACAGACAGGACGATTGTAACACAGCTCTTCTGAACCTTGCATTGTCTCTGGCATGAGATGTGAACAGAGAAACACATTGTGGCTCTACCGAGGTTATGAATTGAGATGTGTACCAGGAAGGCCATGAAAAATGCTTGTGCCATTGTCGAATGGGTTCCTACAACTGGTAATGGCGGGACATTTGTCAATTCATAACAGGTCTTTATGCAAGAAGTGATCCTGTTGAAAGTGCTCTGTGAAGAAACCAGGAGGCCCTTCATTCTATCCCATGTAGCAATGAAGAGTTGGATTGATTTATGGAAAGGCTTGGTACACGTCAAGTAAACAGCCAAATCTCTCTAGATGTCCAACATGTGCAGATGCCTTTCCTCAGCTGTCTTGTTCAGCTTTGGACAGAATGTGTCCAAATGTGTCTCAGTCTGTATGAAAGGAAAATACCACTTTAGCAGAAAAGCTAGGTGGAGTGTCAGCTGGCCCTTGTCCTTGTGAAAAATGGTGCACAGCAGTTCCAAGGTCAAGGCTTTAAACTCTGAGACTGGTCTCCTTGTTACTGCCACCAAGAAAGCAACCTACAGGGCAAGTAGTACAGAAAGCAGGACCTCAGCAACTTGATAGGCACACCTATAAGCTTGGAGAGGGCCAGGTTAAGGTCCCACTACAGGACCGGGGTCTAGACCTACAGGCAAAGCCTCTGCAGACCTCTCAGTAAAGTGGCTGTCATGTCGTGGGAAAAAAACTGTAACTCTGGATCAGCTGGTGGAATATGGAGATGGCCGCAAAGTGCACTCTGATGGAAGAATGTGCTAAATTCTGGATCCTGAGATACAGCACAAGTAATCTAAATATAGACTGTACCAAAGAACAAAAGGGAGAGATGCTGTGTTCCAACACCCAGTGGGAAAACCTTGTCCACTTTGTCAGGTAACCACTAAACAACCACTTATGGTTAGAGAAGACCCTGCTAAGATAATCCACCAAGACATTCCTGATGACAAGTTTCCAGATGGATGCCATGGATGATGTAGAAGTCCCAAAGTTGGAGGGCTTCTTGCCAGAGAGCTGATGAACATGGTTTTCCTTTCCTGTTGATGTAGAACATCAAGGCCGTAATGTCCATCAGGATTCTCACCACTTTGCATGACAGGGGAGGCAGGAAGATTCCACAGGCAAACTGGACTGCTCTTAGTTCTTTGACATTCATGTGTAACATCGTCTCCTCCGGGTACCAGTCAGGATTCCACAGGCGAACTGGACTGCTCTTAGCTCTTTTGACATTCATGTGTAACATCGTCTCCTCCGGGTACCAGTCATCACGACACAAGTATATTTAGACACCTACCTGTCTCAGGTAAGCAGCAATCACCAACATGTCCTGGATGAATACACTCGATGCGGTCACCAGGCCAAATGGGAGGACCGTGAACTAGTATTTGCCAGGGCCCACTGTCAATGCAAGGAAGTCAGGAAGATTGCTATGCAAAAGCATGCATCCAAGTTGAAGGCAGAGCAGACCGACCAGTCTCTGATCAAGGGAAGAAATGATGGAGGCCAGGGATGTTAGATACAGTTTAATTTAATAATCATGTAACCACACCAAATCTTAGCAGTTACACAATTATTCAATGGTCCCCGGGGGTGAGGCAGCCAGGGGTGATACAGCGGCAGTAGCGCGAGGCAGAAGGGGCCTGTGGTGGCGGGGGAACAGCATCCCATGGAGCAGCCTCTGTCCACAGAGAACCCGGGCCATTCGCAGACAGAAACTGCTCTGTGGCAGCAGCCCCTGCTCATGGGGGGCCCGAGCTCCCCACAGACAGAGGCTTCTCCAGCATCCAACCTTTCCCACTCACTGCACTACTACCTCTGATATAGAGGCAGCAGCACGGGGGGAGAGGGCCGCTCCATAAAGCTGATGCTCACAGGGAACCATCTGTGGGAAGCAGCAAGTGAGTGCAGGCAGCTCTGCGGGGAGGCAAGCTTGAAAGCCAGCTCCCTGCATGTACCAGCTCTCACCTGACTCCCTCACCCTCTGAGCTGATGCCTCTCTATCAGAGGATGAGGTGCATGGGTGAGGGCGTAGGCAGCTCTGTGGGATCAAGTGCTTGTGGGGAGCCACCTTAAAAGCCAGCTCCCACCTCCCTCCCGTGTTGCCTCTGTTACAGAGGCAGCGAGGGAGGGAGTACGTGCATGTAGTCGTTTGGATTAACCAATAAACCCAGGCTTATCAGTTAATTGTTTAAACAAACGCTAACATCCTTAATGGCGGCTAGGGAGACCATACAGAACTTCAGCTTCTGTAGGTATCTGTTAAAGCCTTGTGGGTCCAGAATACGCCACAACTTCTCCTTGGCCTTTCAGATCAAAAACTAATGGGAATAGATCAGTTTGTTCCAGTGCTTGTGATGAATCTTCTCCACTACCCAAAGCTGCAACAATCCTTCTATCTCCTGCAAGAGGCAAGTGGAAGGGGTGTCAGGGTACAGCTAGAGACAGATTGCAGGGTTTATCTCTATGCCACCATATGGAGGACCCATCTATCCAAAGGTATGCAGGTACATGCATGGAAGAAACAGGAAAGGTGGTTGGAAAAAATGGGGAAGATGGATCATGGGAAGAGTTTTGTAGGCTTTCATTCAACACATCCTCCCTCAAAATGATCATAGTGAGAGTCAAGCTCAAGCCTGACTGTTGAAAATGATGACTTGGGTGGCATTTGTAGCCCTTGCTCTCCCATCTATCCAAAGGTATGCAGGTACATGCATGGAAGAAACAGGAAAGGTGGTTGGAAAAAATGGGGAAGATGGATCATGGGAAGAGTTTTGTAGGCTTTCATTCAACACATCCTCCCTCAAAATGATCATAGTGAGAGTCAAGCTCAAGCCTGACTGTTGAAAATGATGACTTGGGTGGCATTTGTAGCCCTTGCTCTTCT